GTGTTCAAAGGATTTTCCGGAAGAACCCTTCGCAATGCTTTCGGGAAAAAGCATTAAACAACTATGAAACAAAAAGGAACATAATACTACGCCAAACATTGAGAGAAACAAGTAAAGAAACATAGGAAGACAAAGGAACACATGGTACACAAATCTAGAAATCACAAAACAAATAGCCAGGCAAGAAGAAGAGCCAGCAAGGACACCGCAAAAAGGATCACAAGCACAGAATCAACAATCTGAAGAGGTAAGGCGGACTAAACAATCAACAGTATTCAAGGGAGGGTGGTGGGGACGGGGTTGGGGGGTCCAAACATCCGTCTAGCTCCTCATGCCACAAAAAGCTGACTCCCTGCTTGACTTCTGTCATGTCAAGTGACAGAGGGGTGGGGTTGGGGGGGGCGGGCAGGGGTCGAGCGGCCCATGTCTTTCCTATTCTATACCTATGTGGTTCTATGTTCTCAATAGTGGTCATTGTTCCTGATTGTTTAATATTTTCGGAGCTTTTTGCCCGTTTTATAGTTTTTTGGAACGGCGAACTGCTATCCGGTCAAGGCCCTAGGCTCCCTGGCTTCTCGCGGCTGACCGCCCCACCCCACACCGAATGCCGCCAGGACCCAGCTCCCGAGCTCTTTGTTCATGGTTAGGTTTCATTATTTGTTTATTTCTAGCTGCTTCTTTTGTTTCGTCCATGTTGGTTTTGTTCCGATTCTGGCTCCTTTTTTGGCTCCAATATAGTTTTACTAGATTAGTTCCTATTTTTTTCCCTATTTTACATGCCATGTATGTCCTATGTGTTTGTTTCTCAATGTTTATTGGTTTGATCACACCCAGTGGAAGCTTAACTTCCTCAACATAAATAACACAAACAATTATATATATATATATGTATATATATATATGCATATATACACATATCAACTGTCCCTTTGCACAATGCTGCAGGTTCGGTCCATGCTATAAATTGTGATCCTTATAAAGAGCAAGAATCAACGTGCATTGGGTTCCTCCTTCGGGGCAGCATTTGCCAGTGTAACAGACTTCTCAAGTGCCCCAACCCACCGTCGCCTGTTGTACTGCGCTTTGAGTACTTCAGTGTCTGCACTGATTCTCTTGGCCTGCTGCTCATGGTGCCTTACAAAGTAGCAGCACTTCGGACTACAATAATCGGTGGTGGACACTCGACAAAGGTTTCTTAGCGCCTGGTCTGCTGCATTTGTTCCGTCACCTCTCCCAGAGCAGTGACTGACATGAGCCAATCACGGAGCGACCAACTTTGAATGCTCAGGGTTAGAACAACAACTCAAAGAGAGAACGCAAAAGGACCCTGTAGCAATATCCTCAATAAGGGCACCCTCCAAAGGCGCCTATTACACAGGGGGCCTTAACTTTTTTTTCTTTACTTTCTTGTGTCTTCTGATCCAACAAGCTGCAAGCAAGAATCGTACCATCCAAACACGCAAAAGCGTGACCCATGCCAGCGTGCCTGTGTTTGAACTATGGAAGTCTCGAACTCTGGAGGCAAATCGATAACCATGATCTGAAGACCGCCACAGGTAGCATAGACCTGTGCACAATTTCAATGACACCTACAGTACCATTGCACAACAAAACACTTTTGAGACCACCAAGGCCACCAAGGTCTGACGCATTCACGTGTCGAATTCTAGTATCTCCATACAGCACTTAAGGATCCCCACAGCACTGCATTGAGTATGCAATTCTTTGGGAAACTTAACCTAATAGCAATGGCCTCCAGCCAAATAGGAATGGCCTCCAACCTAGAACCAGTGTTTCCATAGCATGCATGCCCATGCTTGGAAATGCACAAACATGCCCTGCCCAGAAGCACCTGAGACAAACGCGTATTCAGGAGCTCCCGCATCTCTTTCCCAATCTTCTCTCTGTCCTGCCAATACCTTGTTCGTACCACTTTGCAGGCAACAATGAGTGCCCCTACTCCCTCTACACACGTCTATGCTTTTCATTTGCAGGACTAAGTCTGCCTGGGTCAGGTTCTGCCTCGAAACGGCTGTTTGCATCTTTTGCGTTAGAGTCGCTCAATAGCCTCATAGTCAGCGGCAGCCTTGAGCAAAACATCACCTTGGCCCGCATTGGCTGGTCACTGCCATGCCGCAAATGCCAGAGTCGTCCCGACATGATTGAACGTGAAGCAACTAACTTGTGATCAGGCATGCGTTGGCAAAGCCGGCCTACCAGCCGGGTGTATTGCGTACAAGATTGTACAAGCAAAGAGCCCAAACCAACTCCTACTACTCTACGAGTAGCACGAAAAGTCAAGGGGCCACTTTGCACAGCACAAGCAGGAGGGTCACCCCTTTGCGGACCTAGCCATCGTGGAAAAGTGGCGGCTCAACCAAAACAGGCTCAAAGCACGAGCGGCGACAGTGAGAGCTGGTGCGAAACTCAGAGAAGGAAGCTGATGCAGGTGCAGAAGGAGGGTCCCCATCCGCCGCACGCTGGTGCAGCCAGCTATGACCAGTAACCCTTGAGAAAAGCACTGGGTTTGGGTGTCCTGGTGGTGCTGTTTGCGCCTCGTATGCGAGAGTGGCGTGGCCGCCAAACAGGACACCATGCAGGAGAACCGGCCGCAGCATCCCAGATGTGACCGCGAGGTGAAAGGCCGGCCCATGGATGCCCCAGTTGCAAACCCAAACGTCGGCTGGGCGTCTGCCAGGTCCATTGTGGTCGTCCCGGTCATGCCCTTAGCCAGCATCTGGACGAGGGGGTAGCAAGCCAGGCTTTCCCACTTCAGCGTGCGTGAGCGGACGGTAGGCCGCAGGATCATGGAGGTGGGCGTGGCACAGGCCCAGCCGGCCTGCTTTTGGTGGACAAAAGGCCTGCAAGCCATGCTTGGTCCGTGGGAGGCCCAGTGCAGGGGTTTCACGGCTTGCAGTCTGGATGTCCAGTAGGTGCAAGTCCAAAAATAGGAAAACCAGAACTTACGGTGGCCTTCACAAGGCCAATGCAACCAAATGCATCATAACCTACTGTAACCTGAGCAATTCACATCCGAACCTACTACAAGAATCAAATCACATATCAGATCAACATGCCCAGCACTCAGCACACCGGCATTGCCTCACAAAGCCAAGCAACGTGCATTGCGAACAAAAAGAGGCTCATACTGCTGATTGGCAAGGGCAAACAGCTTGCCCAGGTACGCCCTATCTATCCTGGCGACTCCCAAAGGCAGGTCTAAGTCTAAGTATGTCCAAATTGCACATTCAGTTGATGACCTCTTCGAGAATCACAACGAGTCCTGTATTGGAAAGCCAGCTGAAGGGTCAGGGCCAAGCCGTCTTTCGTCCGAGTCTGAAGTGGTCCTTGCGAGTTCTTCATCGTGTCAAAAGACCTCGCTGCAATGGAGCCAAAGCTTGCTCTTTCACTCCCTCCCTCCCTCCCTCTCTCTCTCTCTCTCTACTTGTCAAATTCATCTAATTGTCTGGTTCTGTCTCCTGGAGTGATCTAAACAAACGCCGTCGCATGCCCAAACGAAGGACGCGCAGCCAAGTCTCACTGTGACCCTTGTGGAGGGAAAGGCCAGGAAGCTCTTCCAGGGGCCAATTAAATGTCTGCCTCCTGCGGCAAGAGTGACTGACAAGCAAGCAATGCAAATGCAAGCATTGCAGGGCCGTTTGATGGTTTGATCCAATAGTAAGTTCAGTCCTTCATAAACTATGTCGGAATTGACTTGCTTCGTAATGAGATTAACAGTCAATCCGTACTGCAAAGGTGTGAGGGTGCCTGTCAGGGTGGCAATGGACATTGTCTGCCAAAAAAATTGTGTCTTTGCAGCAGCACAGCGCAAGAAAGCCTCCCTCAGCAAACCACCCCGAGGCACCTACAGATAGCAGCAAAAGAAGGAAGCAGCAGCAGCTGCTACCCATCACTGCAAGCCGCTTGTTTTGGTTGTCTCTACCTGTGAACGCTGCTGGCATCAATTTTTGACTGGGCCAGTAGTGCCCATGTTTGCGGGCACAAGCAAATTATTGGATTGACTAGAGCGCCACTTTATCGCCTTTTTCTTCTGCTAAGGCTGGTCAGGCATGGTCTGAAATGAAAATCGCTGTGGTTACTAGCTGGGAAAAAAACGTCTTAAAGCGTGCAATTTGTAGTATGGGGCCTCAAGGGAAGGCTTACCATGTAGCAAGTCATGCCAAGAGCATGCGCGCTGTACTCTGAATTAATTAACTGAGATCTTTATGTCATCTGCTTCATCTAGCTGGCTGATTCTCAGGGTGGAGTGGGCCGCCCACAGCATATGCGCCAGATGGCACGTCAGGATGTGGCTGCGCAGAATACTGAACAAACTCCGGGCCAGCCATTTTGGTGCCGTCATTAGTGAGCACTGCCACAGAAGCCATGTTGCCAGCTTTGTCCACCTAACAGCGGGTGACATGCAGCATCGAAGGCACGGTGTACAATTGCAGAGCAGGACATTATGATAATATAAATAATATGGTGATTCTCAAGGGAAAAAAGAGATGAAGAACAGGTATATATATAATAGATTATAATTAAGGTTACCTTTTTTTCATCTCTTGCTGCGTTTGAGCGCCAAGTTGCGTAATTGGGGGCTGAGAAGACTGTGATCAAGGGATACTGACCTTCGTGATCATATCTGTAGCCCTGAGCCTTCACTTCGTGGGAGCGGAGTGTCATTCTGAGACCGTTGTACTCCATGAAGTTCTTTGAGACATCTGGACCAAACCTGCAACAGCATTGACATCCATGTTTTCTATGATTTCCGTGCATGATTTCAGTTCAGTGCATTCCGAACAGCTGTGTGCCATATGCAAATTAACTCTTCTAACATCTGCTGCCCCCGGCTTTTCGTTTGTACCAACTGCATCTGATTGCCACCAGGGTGCAAGTAGATACCGGAAGACATTCGGCCGGATGGCCCGTAACCGTCTTTGCCCTTGGGGTCTGACCAAAGGAGGTCAACCATGAGCGGATTCTCATCAGGGTTTGGCTCCATGAAGCGGTTGGAGTTCTCAATCTCCTAACGAAACGTGAGCTCGCGCGTTGATACACTTGCACGCGACAAAATCAGAACAAATCTGCTTAAAGCAGTGTGCTCAACGGTGTAGCGTAGTACCAGTGAGTGCTTACATAGTGCTTGCGTGGGCGCAATAGTTGCTCACTGGTCCAAACAAACCATGGCCATTGCTTTCTTGTGAGACATGACGAAATCAAGCTGGGAACTGGAACGAACAAAAGCCGCCGATGCATTTGGGTGATGAAACAACGTTGATTGATACTACCACTTGCCACCACGCGTCTGACAAGCTAATCTGAAGCTGACGACCATCGAAGCTGATCTGATTGTCCATGCCCTTCCACCACACTCGAGGATCAGGTCCTGGGATGCCTCCATGCACAACAAAGATCTCATTGTTGATGACGTGGCACAATGGTGTGGCTCGGAAGATCTCAGCAAACAAATCTGTCATACGCTTTTCGTACTTCACCTCGAGCTCTCCAAAGAAGCCATAGAAATGGTTTGCCATTTCAGCCTCATGATTGCCACGGTTCATGCCAACACCGTTGGGTTGCCAAACCTTGAAGGCCAGAATGGTGAACATGACCTCGACACTCCACGGTCCGCGATCTACGAAGTCACCATTGAACAAAAACTGATTGTCAGCTGAAGGGAAACCTGCGAGGCTCAACATGTGATCAAAGTCGAAGAGCTGGCCATGAAGATCGCCCACCACAGTGACCTTCTTTCCCACAGGCACGTTGATCCTTCCAAGGGTCTTTTCCTTCACCAGGATGTCAAAGGCATCAATTGCCAGCTTGTAAGCATCCTTCATGGGCAAGAGCTGGCCATTCCTGGTTGTGGTGGGGGTCTTCTTAGCCCTTAATTATAGGGAATGCATGCCGCATGCCAAGCCCAAAATTCCTTCGCGCACTCCTCTTCTACGCATCCTTTTTTTCTTTTCGAATCATCTCCCTGTATCACGTCATCTGTCTTGTGCATCTACGAGAAAAGGTGCAAAGCATTGCCAAACTTTTGGGGTCATACGGTAAGTCATACGATCTTATTTGTTTTTTGACACTTTTCTTTGGCCAAGGGTCTTAAAGCTCTGCACCATCTGTCGAATGGAGGCTTCGTTCAACGAGGATGGGCCCATGTAGCGGGGCCCATTGTGGCCAACAGGTTCCGGCATGGAAGCCACTGCACCTCGCAAGGTCTCAACGACTTGACTCTGGTAGTTCGCCGGGGCCACTGGGATCTTGTACCTGGTCGTCTCAAGTCTGTTTCACATATTCTTCATTCCAACTGCCAACCCCAGTTTCAAACCTATGAAAATCCCACCCGGAAAGGCTTGTGATGGAAACGGTTGGGGAGTCAAGGTTCAACCAGTGACACAATGTGTACCACCATTACGTCAAAACCCATTCCGTTGCATTCTTTGGCTCAATCAATTTCCTCATCTATCCTCCAAGATGCTCCTTGATGGTGGCATCTCTGGGCAAATCCTTGAAGCGATCGTCTGATCGGTCGATTCCTGGGCTGGTCTCTCCATGAGAAGGAACTGGAGCTCCAGCAGCAGCATCTTTGAGCACGGCATACTCAATGGAGACCTTAAAAACAACCAAGCATCAAACAAACACAAACTGGACGATGCAGGTTCGTGCCCAGAAATGACAGACCGGCACACTTTCAACATGCATGTACATAATCTATGTATTGTATACGTATATATTTAAATGATATGTCACATTACGCAAAAAGTACAACTTCATCCCCCTTGTGACGTGCCTTCAACACTATAGTATTTCTTATTATTTCTTGATCGATTATGAACCGCATGGCCCCACCCAAACGACGGAAGCCAAGCATTTCATGGCAAAACACGGGAAGCTCAGCAGGCTTGTTGCCCATGCTGCCACTGCCGCTTGATTGAAAAAATGCCTGCTGAATTGTCCAAGATCTTGTCATCGAGCAGGTCCATGATATCCCAGAAGTCCCAGGTGCTCACCTGGCCGTTTGGCAGCGGACTTGTTACATAACATATGGTCATGTCCTTTCTTGTCCCGTCAGCCGTCAGCCTACTACTGAGTAAAATACGGCGTCACCCCAAACCATGTGCATAAAGTTAGAGGGCTTCCAGAGTCCCTTGAAGCACGCAAGTCTTGCAAACAAAGCACATCAACTCCGGCCACTTTCTTCACTGCCATAAACTGCTTGGCACCACCCACAAATGCCTGGCCCTGGGGGTCACCAGGATACCTCGACAGCACGTCTCATTTGTATGCATTGCATTATGTCAATATATGTCGATGCTGTGCAACTTGCTGTGCCCATTCGGCTCATTGCCCGGCCTTGAGCCCTCATTCATCTTCCAGATCATGGCGCCTTTACCGGAGGTGCTGGGGGCATAAGCCAAGACTCCGAAAGGACGCTTCTTGTACTCCACGGTGACGCTGCCGGTGACGCTGGAGGCATCTGATGCGTCAAAGGTTTTGGGCTCTCGGACCTTATTCCCTTCGCTGTCACACATCGAAGCAGCACGAGGGATGCGAGTTGCTGGTGACGATCTCAGAACCGGTTGGACTGGCGCGGTGAATGACAAGACCTGAGGCATGAAGCTTAGGGAGCAAAAAAACCTCTGCATTACGGTGGGATCAATTAAATCTGTGATGCCTTGATTCTTGTGCATCTTTTGAGCACATACATATTCACGCAACGCTTGATCGGCCTCGGTGGCTAGCCGGCCTGCTGCCAGCAAGGTGCACACCGCGACCTCATCATGACAAACGGCCAACACTGGCCGAGCACCCCTTCAGGACGTCTGTCCAAACCATGCGAAGTCCGCCCCAGTGTTCAACGGGGCCTCGTTGAAGGGGCCCTTGCCTTCATTCTTCATCTTTTTGTCCATTCGTTTTTGTCATTGATTCTGAGTGGTTGATCTTCACTACAAGTTTCATCAAGGCACTGCGGCTGGCAGCAAGGCAGGTCGACGCATCGATGACATTTGCGCCATGGCCAAACACTGCAAACTTTGCCCGAGGTAACGTTTGAGCCACTTTCTGTTGTCATGAGTGCATATTGTCTCCTTCCCACAGGAATTAAGACCTTGCACATGCGCGGTGCCATGAATTGACTAAAGCTCAAAACTTGACATCCTTCAGCCACTTATATATTGCTCAATTAAGAAGCTACTAGGGGCTCCTGGCCGTACTACTAGGAGCAAGGACGCTACCAGGGGCTCCTGGCCTTACTACTAGGAACAAGTAGACAAGAACATTTCAAATTCAAGTGAAGGACCGAAGGGCCTGGGGCAAAGCGCTGCAAAGACTCCACGAGGTTTTCCAGTTCCAGTGGTTGGCGAGCCTTCTGAACGCAAGATCGAAGTTGCACACTGGATGTCCCACTCTGCGATATGATATCAACATTGAAGAGTTGCCAGAGCTAAAACCTCAGTCATGGCTCAGTCGTACAGGCTATTGATATAGCCATAGCTACGAGTATCTCCTCTCCAGCCTAGTTTGACTCTGCCTGCCCCTTTGAATATCGTTCGTCTATTTCTGCTCTTCTCCCCCTCTCTATATACAGCCAGCTATATATTTTTATGTCAATTGGATTCAATTGGCACTTGTACGTATGCAGTTGTCTTGCTGCTTTTATGGTGTCCGGATGTGTCCGGTGTTGATCGTTCTTGCTACTTGACATCCAGTTCCGTGGTTCCCGCCTGGTGCTGCCACTCTGCAGCCTGCGCCTGGCGATATCCTTCCAAATCATCCATTGGCTCAAAGGGCACGCCGAAATCTTGTTGCTGAGAGGCGTGATGGTCGGAGGACCCGATCCAAATACGAGAATGTGCAAATGGTATCAAATGGTGACAGTCTGTTACATGCTAAAATGACACCACACGTCCAATTTGACTGTTGTGTTTTCGGACATTTACGTAGTTGTCACATGATTCCACATGTGCTAGCTTGAAGATTCTACAGGTTTAGGACTAGTGACTAGTTACCTGAGCAGGATAATAGGACTTGTTTGCAAATTTATGGAGTGATTGACTGTGTTACCTGGTGCATGTGGTTTGCTGGTGCCCAAGCTGCCGCAACAATAATCGCTGAATGCCGTCATCAATTGGTGTTGTGATGTGTCATGTGCACCTTCTAGCAGCCACCCCATCAAAACATCCCGCAACATGGTGTCAGGTCACACTTTTGCGATGGCTTGCGCAACCTGCCCCAGGCTGAAGTTGACTGAGATGTTAAGAATCGTCCGGCGTATTCGATGAATCCAAATCAATGTCCTAAGCCAACATCACAACTTACAAACCACTCACTTGGTCCTGGTAGACCACAATCGCACACGGTGCCCCATGAGTGTGGTGAACTTAAATTTGTCCAGGGTTCATCTTTGATCCCAAGCACAGAATGCTCGGCGGGGTGATCGCGCATAGCCCGGACCTTCATGAGTGTTCTTCCAAAAGGATCGTTGGACTATCTGACTATCATGACAAAGCGGACGTTTGCGAACAAAAGTTGTCAGTCGAAGTGGTGCGAATGCAATGAACCTTCATGTACTTCAGCAGCTTGCTGGTATCACCTTGAAGTATCTCCTGGCGGGACACGCTTCAACAGTTTAAGGGAGCACTACTGATGTAGTAGTGTTGTTTGAGGATGATCAGTCTGCAACATCGTGTCCGGATTTCTCAACTAGCCCCTAGGATCTCTAAAGGGAACACTGTAGCCCCAGCTAAGTTTTCACATGCTGTGCCCTTGTGCTAATCAATGTTCACCATGCAAATGATTGTGGCAAGGCTCCAGCACTTTCTGAAACGCTGATGCAGCGCGCAGCTGTGTTGCATTCAAGCCTCGGTGAGCCAAACAACTCCTGATGAGTGAGACTGGGAGGTAGTTGCACAGCACGCTCAGCGCTAGATCGACGACGTTTCATGACCCGATTTTTCCAACCTTGGTTTGTAGCTGAAGCCTAGGGACTCTGTATCGCCGCAGAATTCTTCAACTTGATTGATTCCTTGGTATGTCAGTGGGAGGGCCTGTGTCTCATGGTTCGTTCATGTTCATCCAAGTGCTGCAGCCAAGTTGGGATGTTTCTTGCACCCTTTTCACTTTCGGAACCCAAGTCGTGGGCGGCTCTGGTGAGCTTCTTGTCTGCTCAGCCACGGAAATAGACTTAGGGCACTTGCAGCGCTGGCATCTGTGTCAGCCTGTCCGCGAGAGACTCAAGTCTTGTCCACAAAGTCCTTGATGATGTGTGGTGTCAGATTTGACCACGGTGAGAAGATCTTCGTGCTTTTGCTTCTTGAGGTGAGCCACACAGCCTTGGTCCAGCTCAGTGGTTGCCCAATCGGAGCCTTTCCCTCTGCCAATTTTGCCTGAGGAGCTACAATGGTCTTCAGAGGATGCGACCCTCCCAGCAATTGTCATCAAAATACGGTAATTGATTCCTGGAACAGAATCAAGGGCTAGGCAGCATGTGGCTGAAGCGACCATTTCTTTGCAAATGCAAATTGTCTGCCTGATTCCCTCTCTCCAGCCATGCCTTGACTTTGGCTTTTCATGGCTTTTCCGTGCCTGAACTGCCACAGCTTCCAAACCAACGAAACTCTGTCAGCGCAGCTGCCTCACGAAGCAAAACTCTACCAAAGTGTGACCCTCGTTCAAGTCGTAGCTGCAATTCATTTGCAGGCAAGATGCTTGCTGGCCTCCTCTGTGCGCCAAATTCTGCAATAATTTGGTTGGCCCCTGCCTGGAGCTTCTTTAGCCTATCACGCATTTTATGCGATCCTTGGTCCCAAGCCGTGATTGGATTTGTTTCTGCTATGCAAGTTGGTACTGGTCTGTGCCCAGGCTCTTTTGAGGAGCCTCCGGCACAAGAAATTGCGCACATGCTTGCAAATGACCTGTACAACAAAGGAAATCTCGAGCACAGCGCAAACAATTGAATGATTGAGGAGGCTCAGTTTCGCAGTCCTATTGACATCTTATGAAATCTTGTTTCGGGCGCACCTCACTTGCAGCCGCCAACTGCTCAATTCGCCTCCGAGCTATGGCCCCTCGCGCTACAGCCTGCAAGCACCGAAGCCCAGCCTGACGATGCTTCAACTGTCGCGGAGTTGTACGAAGCTAACCCAAAAAAACGCCGAAACTGAGTGGGGAAAGGATGGAACCGGTATTCAACCTACTAGCGATGGCATCCAACCCACTAGCGATGGCCTCCAACCTACTGGCGATGGGCGCCAACCCACTCCAACCTACCAGTACTAGCGATAGCCTCCTACCTACAGTTACCGATAAGCTCCAACCCACTAGCGATGGCCTCCAACCTACTAGCGATGGGCTCCAACCTACTAGCGATGGGCTCCAACCCACTAGCGGATTAGCGACGGCCTCCCCAACCTTCTAACGAGGACCTCCAACCTACTGGCGATGGGCTCCAACCTCCTAGCAATGGCCTCCAACCTTCTAGCGATGGACTCCAACCTACTAGCCATGGGCTCCAACCCACTAGCGATGGGCTCCAACCTACAAGTGATGGGCTCCAACATACTTGCAATGGGCTCCAACCTACTAGCGATGGGCTCCAACCCACTAGCGATGGCCTCCAACCTACTGGCGATGGGCTCCAACCCACAAGCGATGGCCTCCAACCTACTGGCGATGGGCGCCAACCCACTAGCGATGGCCTCCAGTGATGGGCT